TGTTGTTTCGATTCCACTTAAGGAATCAACCTCGAAGCTCGGCGAAACTAGATCTGGTGCCCTGAGACAATTTCTTTCCTTAGAAAAACAACTATCTTCCAATCCCAAACTCAAGCAGTTGTATACTGAATTTATGCAGGAATACAGCGAATTGAACCACATGTCTCCTTTCCAATCAACAGACAATGAAACCTGCTTCTTTTCGCCCCATCATGGCGTTCTTCGAGAAGAAAGCAGTACCACCAAGCTACGTGTGGTATTCAACAGTTCCTTTGCTTCTTCAAGCGGCTGTTCTTACAATTCCTTGCAAATGGTGGGTCCGACAGTTCAGGAAGACCTCCTTTCAATTCTTTTACGTTTCCGCCAGCATTCCTACGTTGTATCGGCAGATATATGTAAAATGTATCGACAAATTCTTGTCGCTGATGAGTTTAAACCGCTCCAGCTAATTTTATGGCGCTCGAGTCCTGAGCAAGAACTCCAAACATTTTCATTAAACACTGTTGTGTATGGAACCGCCAGTGCTCCTTTTTTGGCGACGAGGTGCTTGTTGCAATTATCAAACGAAAGCCAAGAATCTCACCCTCAAGCATCAGAGGTCATTAAGAGGGACTTTTATGTTGACGACCTCCTTTCAGGTGGCGGGTCAGTCAATGAAGTGGTTGAAATTTGCAAGCAAGTCAGTTCCATACTAAACGGTGCAGGACTCAATTTGAGAAAGTGGAAATCCAATAACTCTAATATTCTTGACCAGATTAAATCCTTGCATAACTCAACAGACAAGTTTTACCTCGAGTTTTACTTTAACCAGTGTGAAACATCCAAGACACTCGGAATGCTTTGGTCGAGCCAAGAAGACACCTTATCTTACTATATTGGATCCCTTCCCTCTCCCAAAAAACTCACAAAACGCTTTGTTCTTTCAGAAACGGCCAAGATCTTTGACCCTCTTGGGTTACTTGGTCCAGTTGTCATCACAGCAAAGATATATTTGCAAAAACTGTGGTCTCTCAACTTGTCATGAGATGAGGAACTACCTCATGAACTTGCAACCAAGTGGATGGCTTTACGCTCTGAATTCCCTGAGCTCAATAACTTGCACATTTCTAGACAAGCTACATGCAAGGATTTCATTGAAATTGAGTTGCATGGATTTTCAGACGCGTCCCAGCACGCATATGGGGCTTGCATTTATTTGCGTGCAGTGGATCGAAACAGACAGGTTCATGTGCATCTTCTTATCTCTAAGACACGGGTAGCCCCACTTAAGTCTGTCAGCATTCCCAGATTGGAGCTATGTGCTGCTCATCTTTTAGCACAGCTCTATTCAAAGATCAAGTCCTCCTTGTCTATCAACTTTAACGATATATATTTTTGGTGCGATTCCACAGTGGCGCTTTCTTGGATCCGTTCTTCATCAAATAACTTTCAAGTATTTGTGGCAAATCGAGTTACACAAATTCAAGCACTTGCTCCGCCTGAATTATGGAGATACGTACCAACTTCGCAGAATCCAGCCAATCTCGTTTCAAGGGGTGTCTCACCAAAAATACTTGCAGCCTCAGAAGAATGGTTTTGTGGTCCTTCATGGCTTCATTATCCTTCGTCAGAATGGCCAATCGACATTTCTATATCTTCTCCAATTTCCATTCCAAACCTGCCAGAGGTCAGAAAAAGCGTCTATGCCTTAACGCAGAGCAAGTTTCTGGCTTCTGAAGTAATCCCTATCGAAGGTTTCTCCTCGTTCTCACGCCTTAGACGTGTGATGGCATATTGCATGAGGTTCATTCAGAATTGTAAAATTCCTAAACATCAAAGAAGCACTGATGAGCTAACATTGGGAAACTTGCGAGAAGCGACCACAAGGTTGATCATGCTTGTTCAACGTGAGTCGTTCCCTGAGGATTTATCCATATTAAAAAGACAAGGTTTTGTCAATAATCAAAGTAACCTTTTAAATCTGACCCCAATTTTAATTGATGGCATCATAAGGGTTGGGGGCAGGCTTCGCCATTCAGCTTACCCATTGGAAAAAAGGCATCCAATTCTATTGCCAGCCAAACATCATTTTACTTACTTAATTTTTAAACACGAGCATTCAAACCATTTTCATTGTGGCCCACAATTATTATTGTCTATCGTTCGTGAGTGCTATTGGCCAATCTCTGGAAAAACCTTAGCAAAGAGGGTAGTGAGAGAATGCATCTTGTGTTTCCGGTTCAAACCTAAATTCATTAAATCCATGATGGGGGATTTACCAAAACCTCGTGTCCATGCCAACCCACCGTTTTCAAACGTTGGAGTCGACTACGCAGGCCCGTTTTATTACAAAGACCGCAAGGGTCGAGGTGGCAAGATTTTAAAATGCTATCTTTGTCTTTTCGTTTGCCTGGCAGTCAAGGCCGTCCATTTAGAACTGGTCACAGAATTGAGTACATCAGCTTTTCTAGAGGCATTCCAACGGTTCATTTCGCGTAGAGGCAAGCCATCTAGCGTACACTCAGATAATGGTAGTAATTTTGTTAGTGCAAACAACCAATTAAAGGAACTGAGTCAATTCTTAAAATCAAGCAAAGGCGATATCATTAAGCAACTGGGTGATGATCTCAACATTGAATGGCATTTCATTGCAGCTTACTCACCACATCATGGTGGAATCTGGGAAGCAGCGATCAAGTCGGCAAAACGGCATCTATTAATGACTTTGGCTTCTTCTCCCACCACATTGACTTTTGAAAGTTTTTACACTGTCATTACTCAGGTTGAAAGTGTCTTGAATTCAAGGCCGTTGACACCAATGTCTACGGACCCAAATGATTTGTGTGCATTAACTCCGTCGCATTTCTTAATCGGGCGTACATGCGAATCTCTTCCATATACTGACGTAACACTTACTCCCTCCAATCGACTGAGTCACTTCGAGCAATTGGAAAAAATAAAGCAGCATTTCTGGGAAAGATGGTCCCGGGAATACGTTACAAATTTGCAACAGAGACATAAGTGGAAAGTTCACCAACCCAACCTTTCTATTGGGGATATGGTGTTGGTACATGACAATGACTTACCTCCATTCAAGTGGCGCCTAGGGCGCATTATCGAAGTTCATCCAGGGTCGGATGGCGTGGTGAGAGTCGCGAGTGTGAAAACCGCGTCGGGCCTTATAAAGCGGGCGGTCGTTAAACTGGCTCCGTTGCCCTTAGATTAAGTACTAGTTTAAGGTAGCTTTTCATAACTTACTGAAAGCCTATTCATTTTTTAGATGTAAGTATTATTTAGATGTTCTTAGGATAAATCATTACTTTAAATTGTCCACTGTTCATTATTCATTGTGCATTTCATTTGAAACTCATGTTGAAATGATCTTTCAACGGGGGGGCCATGTTCAGACTTGTAAAATATTAAATTTCTTTTCACATTTTTTAAGGTCTAAAAAAGCAACCACGACAGCAAAAATCAATCCAATGCATTTTATTCAATTTTGCACTAGTGGAAACGAGCCCTTAATTTGACATTGCAAGGGATGCCGCACTCAGCGATTTTAAAAATAGCATGAGTCAGTACGCAATGAGCCACAGAACGAGAAGGTGCGTGTCGTGTTCGTTTTTTAACGCCTTTTTCGTTTTTTATGAAGCCTGTGCGCTCAGATACCTTAAAATCGTTGTACTCAATAACCAGCCTGTGTCTGGTACTCAAGTTTTGACCCCCTCGAAGTAATAGTGCTCATTAAATCACGTTTAAGTTAAATTCAAAATTCCGGTGTTTCATTTTCCTAGATACAGTCCACTAACGCATTTCTTCCTTTTATCTATGCTTTAACGCAAAGCCTGAAATTCAGCGATCGCTTTATAGTTGAAGAAACGGGAAAGCGGTGTTGCCGATCCAGTGCAGCATAAACAAGCAGCTCTGGAGTGCTTAAAATGCGTCACTGAACTCACTGGCAAGCGACTATGATATCGGATTAAAAAAAAAAAAAATTAAATAGAAAATCAACAACAAAATTTGAAAAGAAGTGTATTATTTCAAAATTTATTTACATGCTGGCAACGCAGCGGGTCATTAGCTAGTTTTCTATAAATCTGTATTGAATCGAGTTTGACAGATAGCTCAAATAGGTACTTTTTGAGCAATTGAATCTCAAAGTTGAACATTCTCAATATCAACCAAAAATTCCCACTGTTGCTTCAACTCTCTCAAATATCCAATATAAAAAACATTAAAACAAAAAGGATAAAAAAACAAACACAAAAATACACAATAAAAAAAAAACAGATTAAAAAAGCCCTACATAAAGTAAAACATTCTTCTAAGATATAAATAGGTATGCCTTCTTAGTTGAATTTGATAAAATACCCATTTTTCTTGAGAAATAGAGAAAAAAAAAAATTAAAAAAAAAAGAGAAATAATTATTGATTATCACTGTTCAGAGAAATTTTAGAAAACAACAAGTGACAAAATTTGAGAAATGTAAAGGTAAAAGATCCTTCTTTTTTTTTGCGTTTAATCCAATCTTTGACTCCAACTCTATTAGGCTCAAACTAGAGCCAATCAAATCCTCTACAAATCCCCGAGAGACAATTTCAATGCAGCTTTGATAGTTTTGCAGTTGAGAAATTTCAATATCCGATCTCATACTGGTAAGTTTATATGCTCAAATGGACAACACTCTATAAAGGAATAAGTTGGTGAAAAATTTTTTTTCTTCTCTAATTCAATTAACCTTAACCGGACTTTTCCTTTTAAATTATCAAGCCAACTTAGAACCATAATTCCAGACATGAAAATGTACAACTTTTCAACAAAAGCCTTACAGTTTAGTTGTCAAGAATCTAGACATAATGGCGAACCACCGCGTCAAGACTCTTCACAAATTTTAATTCGCCATTCTGTCAAAAAAAAATCCGGCTCAAAGGCCAAATTTTCATTTATTTTGTTGAATCAAGTGTATATTGTTTTAATCCGATTTTACTCTAGTGTTCTAATCTAGATTGTTTTGTTCCAGGTCTGGTTCCAGAATCGTCGAGCCAAGTGGCGCAAAACCGAAAAGTGCTGGGGACGGAGTACCATAATGGCCGAGTACGGTTTGTACGGGGCGATGGTACGCCACAGCTTACCGTTGCCCGATACCATATTGAAGAGCGCAAAGGAAAACGAATGTGTAGCACCTTGGTTGCTAGGTAATCCTTAGGCAGTATGTCCTATTTTTGAAAAAAAAAGGGAATTCTGCAATAATAATTAATCAATATTAATAAATGTTCCATCAAATTAGAAATCATTTATACTTAAATATTTACTGGATTTTTTTTGTTTTGATGGAACAAAGTTTCAATCACATTTCATTCAATTGAAAGAAGCTGTTTTTGTTTATTGTTTTATTCCCTCTTTGTGGTAATTCTTCTTCTTTGGCTGATTTGAAAATGTGCCTTATGATGAAATGATGACTACAAACAGAGCCCTCTAGCTAACAACAAGCAAACAAGTACAATCGCGTTGCGGTTTCTCATTGCGGTTTCTCTATATTGAGATCGAAAGTTTGTGGTTAACGGTAAAAGCCTATCGAGAGCGCAACAGTCGATTTACGAAGAAAAAAAATGGTCTGACCCTCGTAGTAGTAGATAGAAGAGGCATTTCGTAGCGAAAGTTTTGTGCAATATAGGGATAGCAATGATAGATCGACATTTGAAGTTTCTCGATATTCAACCAGAATTTTTTGTCACTTCAATCGTCCAACAACTGAAAACGTTGTATTAAACTGATAAACTACCTATTGTTAACAATAAATTTGATTTCTCAGCTTGATAAGGTTACAAGTTTTCAATTTTCTCAATAAAATTATTTTTAATTTTTTTCATTCTTGAGTCTTATTCATAATATGGTCCTTTCGGATTTGTTCAAAAAAATTACAATTTCTAAAACTAAGAATTCCAAATTTTATCGAATCCAAGTTCTCTGACTTTTTTTAGCATTTCTGAATTCAGTGTTGCCAACTGCGGATGAACTATCATAGTATATAGAATGCTATAAAATTATAGTACATTTGTACAAATTAAAGTATCCTACTAATAATCCTGCTGGAGACAGATGACCACCAATTGTCCTGGTGCGACACACAGACAGTGGCGTAGCTAGGCGTCGGCGACCGCCGACGGCCTCGCGCCCTGAGGAGCCTCGCAAAAAATAGGATACCGAACCTAAAAATTGACACTTTCCGATTTTCCAAAATAAAACGTAGAGAACAAATAAACCTAATCCTATACGGAACTTCTAAATATCATAGATTTCGCTAAAACTTCTCTCTCTCTTCAATTCTACTGCAAATTAACCTAGAACTCTCAAATCATATGGTTTCTATTTTTTTCGGTAGATTGTCGCGAAAAAAATTATATTTTTGACTAATAAGTATTGTTATCTATCAAATAGCATGCTTACTGCTACTACTAATACTGTTGATATGCCCGGAGGCGATTTTACATAGTATACCATGTAGAGAGCATCAAGTCTATAAGCTCCGCCCCCAAGCCCAGTCCAGCTTTAGTACAGTGTACAGTATAAAAATGGGGTATAGAATGTAATAAGCAGTGCGCAAAATGAGTTATACCAAAAAATATTATAGACTATAACGTCTCTAGAAGACCCGTCCGCTAGCGAAAATATAAACCCGCGTGATGGCGCTGGTGTCCTAGTAAAATCCGTCGTTTCTGCGATTAAATTAATTTGAGGGACCAAATGCACGCGTATATGCTAGGCTGCGTTGCCAAGTTGTCTTTTGTATAACAAATTAAATGCCTGTGTTTTATATAGGTACTTATTATACATATACCTACCATAGAATAGGAATATTATTATAATTAAAAACAATATAATAAATAGGTAAATAGTTATGTATTTTTGTGGGTAGTAATTTTCTGTTACTAATAATAAATAGAGGTATAAAACAACGGATTTTGCTGAAATTTAGCATAATTTTCAAGTTCAGGTGATTAGGTGATAATACATTTTATTTACGACTAATGAATAATATGCGTATTATATTTGTGATTTTGGCAGTACATATAATGACATATGTTATTCCTCCAGGGATTAATGACGAGTAGCGGGATTAATGGTCATTATTCCACAAAAGTGTCAGTGTCAAACGTGTAGTGCTTGTGGATTTGTATTGAAAATTATGAGACGGATGAAATTTGTTCATTGAAAATCTCAAATAAATTAATTTATCGTAAATAAAGTAGAGTATACTACTCGCAATAATGACTATTATTCCCTCGTAATAATCCTCGGGAATAATAGTTATCATTATTGACTCGTGGTATAATCTACCATTAACCACTAATGAACGGTTTAAATTTATTGTCAAATGTGACAGGTGCCAATTTTTGAACCATTATTTCGCAACGGATTTTGCTGAAATTTTGCATACACTTAAGTTCGGGTGATTATACATTTTAGACCATTAATGACGGATGTCAACTGTCAAATGTGACAGATGTAGATTTGTGAACCATTTCTTCGCAACAGATTTTGCATACACTTTAAGTTCGGGTGATAATACAATTTGGAATATTCAACAGCTGTCGAATGTAATTTTTGACAGCTGTCAAAATATGACAGGTCGAGAGGTGGGCAGGTTGTCAGCATTACCCCCGTCTTCGAAAATTTGCTTTTTTCGACAAATAGACAAATTTCAAAAATAAATAACCCATAATTTTGCACACCGATTTTCAAAATTTGCACACTCTTTTGGGGAAAGTTATATCGTATCAAAAATTTGCATAACCACCTCCCATTTTTAAAAAAATTGATAGACCCCTATGCTACTCGTTTCATTTAATTTTGGACAATTTTGCACACCTATATGCAAATTCTGCACACTTTTCTGAGAAAAGTTATGAGGTGTGATAAATGTGCACTTTTTTCCCCGTTTTTCTGAAACTTGAAAAATTCTTATGCTACTCGCCTCGGCTAATTTTGCACTCGCTTCCAGGGAAAGTTGATGGGTATCAAAAATTAACATTTTCACCCTCGTTTTTCAAAAAATTTAAATTTTTTTCAGCTATTCGGTAACCTAATTTTGCACAATTTTGCATACCTATTTCAAATTTTGCACACTTCTAGGTGATGAATTTTCCCTTTATCTTTGGACATCGGGTTGTGAATAGATAATATCAATAACTTGCATTTTCCCCCCCGTTTTTCAAAAAATTAATATAACCTCAATGCTATTAGGTTCACCTAATTTTGCACAATTTTGCACACCTATTTTCAAATTTTGCACACTATTCTGGGAAAAGTTATGAGGTGTGATAAATGTGCACTTTTTTCCCCGTTTATCTGAAACTTGAAAAAATTCTTATGCTACCTACTCGCTCCGGCTAATTTTGCAAACCTTTTTTTTAAATTTTACACATTCCTCTGGGAGTTAAATGTTATATTAAAAATTTGCACGTTTTCCCCTGTTTGTCAAAAAAATTGAAAAACTCTCGCTACTGGGTTCACTCAATTTTGTACGCGTATTTTCAACCCGAATTGAGTAACATAAGAATTTTTCATTTTCTCAAAAAACCGGCGGGAAAGTGCACATTTTGCAAAATTTGAAAATAGGTGTGCAAAGTTGTGCAAAATTGGGTGAACCCAGTAGCATAGAGATTTATCAACTTTTTGAAAAACGAGGGGGGGAGACAAGTATAGGATCTTTCAATTTTTCGACAAACAGGGGGCAAGTGCAAATTTTTAATGCCTTATAACTTTCCCCAAAAACTTGCGCAAAATTGTGCAAAATTAGCCAAAGCGAGTAGCATAAGATTTTTCAATTTTTCGACACACGGCGGGGATAGTGCAAATTTTTAATACCTCATATAGTTTTTTTTTTTTTTTAAGATAAAAGTCAAAATGACATTATGTTGGCAATGCAATGTAAAATTGTCAATGGTTTCAAATTTTGTATGTAGAAAAGACTTGTGCTGCCAACATAGTTATTGAATTTTTGACTTGGGGAATTATTTAAAAAATAAAAACATACTTTAACTTTCCCCAGAAAAAATGTGCAAAATTTGAAAATAGGCATGCGAAACTGTGCAAATTTAAGTGAACCGAGTAGCATATGAATTTTTCAAGTTTTAGACAAACAAGGGTGAACGGTCAAGTTTGCTCCCAGTTTAAAAAAAAATCCTGTGCAGTTCACACCCGGTAGAAGTGAAACCTTCATCGAACTGCATGCATTACACACATACTAACATACACAGTGGCGTCCCCCCCCCCCCCCTCCAAAAGACTTGAGAAAGAACGCAAATCACTATAGTTTAAAAAAACTAAAATACACGCTGGGGTTCTTTGTTCCACATTTCTTATACATTGAGCACCCCACGCTTTTTTGACAATAATTCTAATATTTTTTTACGCTGTATCTAGTCTCCCGGCACCGGTATTCATACGAATCCCGGTTATGGCACGTTTTAAATGACATCATCAACAATCACTGATAACTGTCGTGGATCCCGGCATAATTATTATTATGTTCATTGGTATTGGGGCAGATTTATTATGAAGAGTTAAAAAAGTAAAAAAAGTCGGGCGCGATAAGCTTTTATTAATGGAAAATAAAATTATGACTTTTTATTATATGTAGGTACGGGTCATTTTGAAAGTTGGTTCAGCATTTGATCTTGTACAGCAACGCCGTTCAGCAACATTACAGACAGTGGCGTAACTACAGGGGGGCCGGGCCCCCCCCCAGACGTCGCTAGGCCCCCCCCCAGAAAAAACTTTAATAATTTAGTATTTTTTCTACTGACGTTTCATAATACGCTTAAAATCTGTTTCATAATGAACTTCATTATGATACAGATTTTCATTATGATACAGATTTTTCAGCCACTGGAATCGAGTTATTTTGAACATGAACAATGTTTATATAAAAATAATAGACTTGTTTTGGAATTTTGGATTGTTTCTATTAGTATTTACCAGAAGAAACAACAAAAAATTAATAAATCGGGTGCGGAATTTATGCCCAAATGACGTCTAGATCCTAATTTTCGAAATCATCGAAATTGTCAATAGTGGTCAACAATAATTGTCACTAGTTGAGAAGTTTACTATTCTTGAAATAAATATGTATTTCGTTTATTAATGGAAGTAGAAAAAATATAGTGTATGCAACTCTCATGTAATGGCCATT